CCCACGTGTATACAACTACAATGTCTGTCAATGCACTTATCATACTTCAGGTCAATAGCCTCAGAAATTAGACATATACAGAAGGACTGTCTCTAATATAGCTTCCCTAGGCATAACTTGACCAAGGAGTGGAAGGAGACATCCTTTGTTACATGTCTGGAAAGTTGAGGAAGTTCTCTCTGAGGCAGGTCATCCATGGAGCAGTATGAAAACCTCTTTCTTCTTTCTCTTGTTGCGTCTCCAGAAAACGTTTGTTGGAAGCATTACCATTGTGTGGATTTTAGCTGGGATAAATTACTGCAAGGAACAAAGTAGCCTCTCAAGCAATAGATCCTGAATTTTGGGTGAATCTTTGAACCTTGCACTGTTCCTCAGGGACTTGATGAATGGGATGGGGCCAGAGAGCTGCATTTTGCTCAACATAGCAGAAGCATGGGGTGCAGACCATTTGCCAAAAGCAGTGCTACGAACTGGGGACTTTCTGGATAGCAGACAGATGGGATACAGCTTCTGTAATGTAGACACCTGTAGGGCTGTTCCATTAGGCCATTAAAACCTTGAAATGCCTTAAGATTAGGAGGAAGCAAGTGTAGTTTATGGTGACTGTGGTCCCACCCCACCTTTCTGCTTTATGAGTGAATGTCTGTAAGTCCAGCATCTCAGCCACGTGGCTGAATGGCTTAAAATCAACAGAATTAATTCTGGAAGTTCAGCTGATGGATGTACAGGTTCTGCATTGCAGTTTAAATATTTTCCTCCAATATTTACCTTTTTTCACTGAGAACAAGTCCATGCTAGCTTTGGCTTCTGCATGGGACACAGCTCATGTATCAACCACAGACAGCAAATGGGACATTCTGTTTTCTGTGGGCAGTGGAAAGTGATCTGCCTTTTCACATTTACTTCTGGAACCTTTCACAAGGGAAGTCTAAGATCAAGCCACTGCTGTGCCAAAGCAGAAGGAAAAAGGGACCTGGCTGCTGGAGTAACAAACATACTTCCACATCTTAGCTCTGATTCATGCTTAGTTTCAAATGGAGGACCTCACATTTCAAGTGAGATATTTGCTCAGTAAAATATGTGCATTTTGTATTTCATTACCACATGCTATATATCTCATACAGCGGTTAAGTAATGAAGGAGTGAGGAAAAGGTTGTAATTTGGGGGAGCTGTAACCGTTAAGATTCTATTGAATGGGATTTTCCCTTGTTCTGTACTGTTATCTACTAGATAAAAACATTGTGCTTTATGATTGAGCTAATTGTGCTGGACAAGCCAGTCTGCAGTCCTAGAAGCCTAGATTTTCAAATGCGCTGAGCACAGGCAGCTGCAACTAAAGACAGTGGGGGCATTTAAATGTGCAATTAAATGTGAAGTTCTCTAAAAATTCAAACCAGAGGCTGGCTGTAAGATTGGAGCAGAGATGCTACCTTGCCTCATGGGTGCTATGAAACTTGTGATGAACCGAAAAGTTACACTGAAAAGACTATGTAGAGATGAAGTCTTTCTTCAGAGTGGGGTTTGAATATTAAAAAAAAAATGCCTTGAATGAAAGAGAAGAATAAAAAGAAAACAAGCAGGTATAGCTTGCCTATTTGTGGACTGAATGGATGTATCATCTCATTCCCCCTCACTCTTCCCCCCCCCAGTATGTGCACTTAATATGTATACCACATGGTCTGAATTAATATTGTGCAAGCGTATCTAATTCTAGCATTCCCCACTCTTATTTTTTAATACATGTAATATGCATAAAGAATGTGTATTTGAGTAAGAAGTCTTTATAGAATCACTGAATAATTTAGGCTGGAAGAAGTATTGGTGGGTCATATAGTCAAGCCTCTGCTAAAACCAGGGTCAATGCTGGAGTCAGCACAAGTTTTTCAGGTCTTTGTCCAGTTGGGTCTTGATAATCAAAGTAACATTCATGATGCCTTGAGGCAATTGGTTCCATTGTTTAACTTTGGGAAAGGTCTGGCATTTTGAAGGCAGATCTTTGTATATGGCTATTTAGCTAAGCTTGTACTGAAGATATATCTAAATGTTAAAATACAGGGTTGGAAAAACAGAAGGAGAAAAGCTGCTTTTAGTCCTACTATACATATGCTACAAATAAATTTGAGTTCTTAAATGTCAGTATTACAAACCTGGGTTTCTGAGAGTTAAAGATAACTGCAATTTCATTTATATATTTCATATGCTTTGTCTTGTCATGTCAGTCATATTTTGGAATTTGATTGCACTGTAAATTTTGATTGCACTTGTCTGGTAAAATTAAGTAGGTCCTTATACTGTAAGTATAACACAGTCTTGAATGTGTAGAACTTAGAAACTGCAGTCATCAATTTTCTGAATGCCTTTAGTAGAAGAACACAACCCAAGTACCTTGGTTTACCACTACATGCTGTAGTGTAAGTGGCTGGAAGGCAGCATGGCAAAAAAGGCTCTGGGGGTTCTGATGGGTACCAGCTTGACCAAAGCCACCAATGCACCCTTGCAACAAAAGGCCAACAGCGTTCTGAGCTGCATTAGGAAGAGCATTTCTAAAAGGTTGATGGAGGGGATCCTTCCTGCCTACTCAACACAGATGGGACACACCTGGAGAGCTGGATTTAGTTCTGGTTTCCCAGGGCAGCAAAGACGTGGACATACTGGGGTATACCAAGGGCTATGAAGATGATTAAGGGACTAGAGCATCTGGCATGTGAAGAGAGGCTGGGAGCTGGGACTGTTGAGTCTGAAGAAGAGAAAACTCAGGAGGGATCTCTTTATTGTGTAGAAGCACTGTACGGAAGGGTGTAAAGAGAATGGAACCAGGCTTTTCTCAGTGGTATTCAGTGAAAGACAAGAGGCAGTGGGCACAAACACAGAAAGTTCAATTTAGAAAAAAAAAAAGTGTATTTTTTCTATGAGGGTGGTCAAACTCTTGAACAAGTTGTGGAGTCTCTATCCCTGGAAATACTCAAAACTCAACTGGACACAGTCCTGAGCAACAAGCTCTTAATGACTGCTTTTGTGAAGAAGTTGCACTAGATGATTTTCAGAAGGGTATTCCAACCTCAGCCATTCTGTGTTGAGCTAGGTAGTATTTTTTCCAATTTCTCTTTCATTCACTTCCCTTGCAGTGTTGGCAGAATAGATACATTTCCATCCTGTTCTGGTTTTCTGCTTATTTTCTCCTTTACCAGCTCCATCTTTTCCTTTTATGGACACTGCTCTCTAATTTTATAAGTGATTACAGTGTTCTGCTATATCTCCCAAAGTGAAAACCTACTTTTTCTTCTGGGAGTGAAGTGTCAGAGCAGCATTAA